AGAAAATACAAATAAAAAAAAATACACATTACAAATATAAAATAAATAATTTACTAAGTTCATAAATTACTATTAATATGTATTCACAATTAGGGTGAGTAAGAAACCTTTGAGAAAAGATTAAAATAAAGCAACAGAAGAAATTCTCTAAAACTTAAAGGATAATATTGCAAAAGAGAAATACTTAAGAGACAAGCTAACTTAGAAAAGATTGCAAATAAACGATGTAACATAGACAGTACAAGTGAATTATTTTTGCTTTATTGAACCTCTCTACAAGAAATATAAACTGTAGAATGTAATTTTTAGTTGAGATACTTTTTAATTTATTTTCATGATACAGAAAAACTTCTAACACATCTTCTTAAAGAATTTCTTCAAAATGTAAAATCAATTTTTTCACAAATAAGCTTCTTAGTCATTATATCACACAAAGAGGCAAGATTCTGCATGGTTATTAACTTAGGAGGACAAAGAGTTAACCTTTAACAAATATAATTTTATATTTACTAGATACGATTACTCATGTCACCTAAAAAAATGAACAAGAACATTATTGGATTAATAAAGATATCACATATATTTTATCATCAAGTTTTTTGGAGTCTAACTTTAGAAATATAACTTATATCTAATCCTTTCTACCAGATGCATTGCTAACTTCTCCAAATTAGCCAGCTTTCTGAAACATCTTTGCCATAGACTTCCCTGCTTGAGATGCTCACATGCTCAGGATGACATTCGAGTCCCAAATCAAGTCCTTGAGCAAGTTCAGGGCCCTGCTGACCTCTCAGACCTCATCTCACACCCCTCCTCTCCCAGCTCACTCTGCTCCAACAGTCACACTGGCCTTGCTTCTCCTGAAATACAAATGTTTCTCCCCACCTTAGGGTTTTTCCTGGGCTGCTTCCTCTGTCTGGTGTGCTCTTTGCCCTACATTTAGGAGTGCTCCCACCATTTATTTAAGACTCTATTTAAATATTCACTCTTCAGAGAGGTCTTCCCTTCCCCCCTTATCTAAAGTGGCACCATCTGACTTCAAATTCCTTTTACTGTTACATTTTTCCTTCTAGCATTTATCACTATCTGATGTTACATTATTTATCGATTAGCTTAATTGCTGATTATCTGACTCTTACAGTAAAATTTAAGCTTCCCAGGGGCAGGTGCCTTATCTACCGTGTCATCTTGTATTTCCAGTGCTTAGGATGATGTCTAACATAAAAAAGACATTCCATAAATATTTGTTCAATAAGTGGATCCTCATTAAGAAGTAGATTTTATTCTCAATTTTACAGAAGAGTAATTTAAGTTTCAGATAACTGAAGTAACTTATCTAAGGTAACAGTTTAAAAGTTATAGAACTAGACTAGAAATCAGGTCTGTCTGATTCTGAAATTCTACTGTATGTTTTTGATGAGTGGTCAGTAAATTCCTTCTAAAGACCCAGATAATAAAAATTTTAGGCTTTGACAGGCCATAATGTGTCTGTCCTAACTACTCAGCTCTGCTGGGGTAGTACAAAAGCAGTCATGGACAACATGTACATGAAATGGCCATGGTTAGGTCCAATAAGATTATATTTATAAACTCAAGAGGCCTGACCTCCGTTCTAGACCATAAATGCCAATACTAAAAAATAACAATAATAAATAACAATTCTTCTTTCTTTTTTCCTTGGGGAAAACAGAAAATGTTTCTATGTAAACATGTCAGAAATGTCCCCTGCAATGACTGTGGTGAAGGTAAGTAAAATAAATTCAATGGTGTCAAAACTTAATGGCAGGGCCAGAGAATCTAGGGCAGACTTAAGGTTTATTCATTTTGACGTATGGAAGATTATCATTTCAAAATAATTGAATATGAAAGGTGTGAGAAACACAAGAAACTACCACACACTTCATTTGAGAAAGCATTAGTTATAGGCAGAGTCAGCATTAAGGTCTGGGCTACCAAACAAATGGTACTAGTACCTCTCCAGAATAAAGCAATGAACAACTTGATATGTATAAACGATTTGACTAGGAATAAACGGGTCATTGCAACTTCTGAAAATGTTAACTATTAATAAATCCAAAAGTTGTTAAAATACCTATCAGAAAAGAAATCGCAAGAGAAGATTAAATCATCCATTGATTGTTCTTCAAAACTGCCACTGAGCAAAGTCCAGTTCAAACAGCAAGTCCCAAACAGCTCATCTGTGACACAGTTGAATGACAGGATGAAAGGAAGAACACAAGATCATAATTAATGGATTTCTCACCTCCTAGTTATTTTAACAACTTTTACAGAGAAGAGTTCATCTTCAGGGTTTGAAATATAAATATGTTGGAAATATATTTGACAGAAAGAGTAGTTATAGGACACCAGTCCATGCTACCTTAAAAACTCATCTTCAAAAGTGTCCTTTCTTATCCAAAAGAATGATTCTAATGATAAAAAGTTTAGGTTAAGCATTTAAGAGTAATGAAGCAATGGGTATATAATTTAGAGAGTACCCCAGACATATGTCTTTGGTAAATAAATACTTTGTCATGGATACAACCAAAACCCAAGGTTTATTAGATTGTGCCATTTTTTAGTTATTTAAAATCCTTGCACCTCAGTTGAACTTCGTGACTAATAGAAATGCTCTGCAAGGTTGTAAGGTTAAAGTTCAATAAGGTAACTAATTTAGCAAGCTTAGCACAGTACCTGAATGATATTAAGCACTAAAACTAACAGCTAAAATGACCACTTTGTTCCCACTCCTCGAATCTTTTACTTACTTATTCCAAATAAACAATAAAATACTGAGAATCAATTCTTTTGCTATAATGTAAATTCTTGAACTATATTCCTTTCCACAGAACCCTAAAGTAATTACCCATTATTTCTCAAATTCACTTAAAATTCTTGATCTTTCTTTCACTCTCATAGAAATCCACTTAACTGAATGTTCACAATCTCATGTTAGTGCCAACTCCTAGTTACCTCAAACTGGCCTGCCACTGGCTCCATTACTATTTGCCTCATTTCTGAGCTATAACTAAGTCAATGTCCCTGCCAGGAATGTCCTATTTTCTTTCATTTAAATTAAATGACCTCTTCTATTTAACTCAAATTTTACCTTCTTTAGAAGGCTATCTGAGGAAAGTCAGGTGCATGAGTGATTCAATCACTCAAATGCTTTATTTTTTCATTTAAAATAATAATAATAATAATATCTTCAATACCTTTATAATAAATCAACAAATAGTTTACAAGTTCCTACTATATGCAAGAGTCATTCCATGATTGTGTCCAATATTATATAAGGAATACAAGAAAATAAAACAGAGGACTGGGACCAGATCTCAAAGGCTTTGTGATTGTAGGTATTTGTTAAATAATAATTTGTGAGGACATAGTTGTTAAATAAATTTCTTCTGGGCTATCAATAAATAGTAAGATCATCACAAATCCAGATGCTTTTTGTAGGAAAGAGGGGACTAAAAGGGAGATATATCTGAGGAACTGCCTGAGAAGGTTTCTTAGACCAGATTTACCCAGTCCTGCCTCCTCCCCGTAGTACTGGAATGAGAAGAGGGAGGCTGACACACGTACCACGGCATGGAAAAGCTCCCAGATGAACCTGATATCATCTAACCTCACATTTTCAGAATCTTTGGCCTCTTTGCTTAAGTTACTTAAGCATGACATGTTATTTTCAATCTTTTACAAACCTTTAAAACAGGGTTGAGATTTATTTCACTACTTAAATTCAAACCTACAGAAACTGAATTTAAACATTACATGTATTTTCACAATTCAATCACTGCTGACAAGTTTAGAGACAGTTCAATGAACGAAATGCATTTGCCATTTTCACCATGTTGTTTCCTGTAAAGTAAAAGCCATTTCTTGATAGACAAAAAATAAAATTACCTGTAACATTAAGACTACTGTCTTCACCACATTCCACTGTGACTTTCTGCCATCCACAATCACAGTAAATCCTCTAGCTTTACATTTTTCACTGAAAAAAAAAAATTACGAAGTGTTAAAACGAGGTATAGATTTTATTCTTTATAACTTCAAATAAAGAGCATTTGAAGCTTAATCATAAATGGAGTAGCATTAATCTCACTTGGTTTGGTTGACACTGTCAATAAATAAAATTCTCCTGAGTATCCTTTCGATTTTCTCAAGCAATTTATCTCCTTTTAAATAATAAAAAAAAGAGAGATTTTTTGCTATAGGGTGTGTATGCTCACCAAAGAGACAGAGAGATACAGAGAAACAGAAAGTGAGAAATCACCCTCCAGAGCGGGTGGCCACGCCACAATCCCTCCTCCTCTATACTCCCTTTCAGGATCTTAAGCATGCATGCATATATACTTGGTGTGAGTTTTAACCCACTATTCTGGGACTTGAACTGTGGTCCAGTGATATAGCCATTACATCAACTACTGGTTCCAGCAATTAATTTTTTAATTTCAGGAAATATTTATAACTTACAAGCTAAATTAGCAAGAAAATTAACAGCATGGAAAGTCAATATCTTAAAAAGTAACGAAATCAAAGCAGTATCCAACAGTACACTGGCCTCTCAATTTCTTCACCTACAAAATGGGATCACAGTGAAGAAGGCAACTAATGATTGTCAAGTGTATCATCACCTCTTATCTTTCTTTCCCGCCACAAGTATAAGATTTGTGAAGTGACAGTTTAAAACAGGTAGAAAATAAAACAAGTTATTAAAACATTGGAAACTGACTTCCCAGTGCTCTTTGGGGAAAATTTAATAAGATGAAGTTGCACTTGCTATACATAATGATTTAAAGCTTGAATATACCATGTCAGACACACTTTCAGAAATTTCCAGAGCAAAAAATTAAACTGAGTGTTGGAAAATGTGTTAATGCTTTAATTATATTATTATATTCAACTTTCCAGTAAACATTTCCCAGAAGTTGGTAAAACATGACTTAAACAAAGAAAACCTATGTCCCAGACACCAAAAATACATAGCTATCATTGTTTTTTTCTTCCTTTGTAAGCAAGAGGGAGACCTAGACACACACACAGAGAAAAGAGACAGAGGTAGATGTTCTTTCCAGGGTACCACTGTATTCTTTACAGGGTACCACTGTATTAGAGTTCTCCCACCCCAGTCCTCTAATTAGTGAGGATTACAGGATTGTACACCTGTGTCCAGCATATTCTCGTAGGCCCCACACCCAATCTATGCCTCCCATGCAGCTTTTAGCCTTCCAAGTGGTGTCACTACCTGTGCACCACTGTGACTGGGAATATTATTATTGTTGCTGTTATTGTTGTTTTTATCAACATAATGCAAGAATGTCAATTGTCCTACCTCCAGTGCCATGGAGGGAACTGTGACTTGCTTGATAGAGTAATATCTGGTACCTTTTTTGGCTATTCCAACACAAAGTTCCCCCAATCACATTACAGTAAAGTTAGATGGTGTTTATACCCAACAATACAGGGAAGTTTACTAGTCTTACCTACACCCAAAAGGCTTTTTCAAGAAGTGATGTGCAGTTTCACTGAGAAACAGTAAGAGTACAATAATGAGGATAATATTGCTGAAAGTTTGGACAAGGAGGGACCAGCATTAGCCCGCGGTTCGAGTCCCAGACCCGGCGACTTCAAACTCACACTGGGCCTGTATGTGTGCATGCTCAAAATCCTGAGAGGAGAATGGAGGAGAAGGGATTGTGGTGTGGCCATCCCCCGGGGGGAGATTCCTCGTTTTCTGTCTCTCTGTCTCTCTCTGTCTTTCTGGCGAGCACATATGCCCTAAAAAAAACCTCTCCAAAAAAAAAAAAAAAAAAGTTTGAACAAGGAACAGACTCCCCTGTATGCTGGAACAGAAGTGGAACTTCTAAAAAAAAACACCAAGTTAAACTTCTAAAGTAAACAGAAAAATATCCAAGAGGTGATACATATTAAAGCCTATGTCCACACAAGCATTTGCACATCTATGTTCACAATAGCATCATTCATAATAACCAAAAAATGGAAACAACAAATGTGTATAAATTGATGAAAAAAATATAGCCATAGGTGGAAGATTATTCATAAAAAATATTGAAGTACTGATATATGCTACAACATGGATAAACCTTCAAAACATACCTTGTCAAAGAAACCAAACACAAAAGACCACCTAGTATATGATTCCTTTTATATGAAATGTCCAGGATAAGCAAATCCACAGAGAGAGAAAGCAGATTAGTGTTAAATGCGTGACAGAGGAAGGAGAGAATGTAGAATGACTGCTAATGAGCGTAGGGTTTATTTTGTGTTGATAAAAATGTTCTGGGGTTAGACACTCCAATGGTAGCATAACCCTGTGAATATACTAAACACCACTGAATTATATACTTTAAAGGTGTGATTTTTATTTATGAATTCTATCTCAATTCTAAAATTGAGATAAAATTCTAAAAATTCCATTTTGGGATTTGCTTTATAAAATAAAGAACCCACTGATTGCTGTTGGGAGTTAAAAAAAAAGTGAGGCAATACAGTAATCACTCCCGGGTTAGCAATAGCATATGAAGACTTGTGGAGGGATGTAAATCGGACAAATAATTACTATTTGTGGGCTCAAGCAAAGCGGGACTAGATACTTCCACCACATCTAGGAAAGCCTATCAGACCACTATAACTTAGAGACGATACCGGCCCAAGAGAAATCAGCCTAGGCAGGGCTGGTAGTTGAGTGGTCTTCGGAGAAGCGCAAGTCATCAGGGATTCTACCAATACACTATGGAAGTTTGCAGGAAGGGCAACTAGGACATGGCTGTTCAGTAGAAGGCCTTGCTACCAGGAGAAGTGTGCCATTCCCAGATTTAGTACCTTTTTATCTTTAGTGTCTACATCTCTGAGACACAGGTGACACAACTATTTTAAGTTGTACACAAACAACACACCTACACTTCAAAAGGCACTAAAGATTAATCTATACATTAATAAAGCTTGCTAATACATTGCCCAGTATTCTTAAATAAATACAATATTTTGGGGCCAGCAAGTGGAATGGTGATTAGGGTGCTGACTGTGGTTCAAGTCCCAGACCTTGTGGCTTGAAAATCATTCCAGGCACATGCGCTCCTGGGAGAAGAATGGAGAAGTGATTGCAGCATGGCCAACCCCTCCCCTGCCCTACGGCAAAAGCCTTAAAAAAAAAAAAAGTATTCTAAGTCCATCTTTTAGAATGCTTAAACACCCTTAGTCATAATTTTCTTTCATTATACTTAAATAAAGAAAAAGCGCACAATCCAAAAATACAGCTTCAAAATGCAAGACCAAGAGGTCTTTCGAGTGCTCAAATTAAGTTTTTCTATTTTTACTTTATTCTATAAACTGCTTTTAACAATAGCAATATTTAATTTCTAAGTTATTATGCCCTTTGTAAAGGGCATATTGGAGGATCTAAAGTGGTATTATTAATAAATTCCTACACTACTCTTAACATGCTTATATTTAAAAAATAATAATGAAAAAAATATCTACAACCCTGGCTTCCTATTTCTACTCCATCAGAGCCTCTCCGTGCATATGGCCTAATTAAAACAGCCATGTAAAGGTTCCATACCAGGCTCACTCGCTTGAACAGAAAAGGTACTAGTGAAGCTATGGTGCTGCAAGCAGGAAAGCACCACTGCACTCTGGCTGAGGCCAACAGACCTGGGCTTGGTTCCCAGGCCAACATAAACAGGCCAGTTGTGGCAGCATGCACCTGTGGTCCTAGCTAACTGGAAGGCTGGGAGAGGAGAATCATGACATGGGGAGACCCTATCAAAAATATCTCTCTCGTTCTCACTCTCTCTCAAACAAGGCAGGAAGGGAGGGAGGTTGATTACAGATGGTTTTCCTGAGGCCATTACCCTGCAGCTCTTCACTAGCTTCCTTGATTACAACTAAGGGAGTTTTCTATTCGAGTTCTGCTCATACTTAACAGGACTAATTTCACTTATGCTTTTGCTCTAATTACTTGCTTACAATTCATCTTCATTGTATAGGATGCTTCCAGTAAGCAAGAATATTACCTTACCAATACCTCGGCAGCTTCTAGTATGGAGCTTTAAATATAAGGGCTTTTAAAATGTTAGATGCCACACATCACATCACATCACACTACTCAGAGCTCAGTGGCTTTTCTTATTCAGAACTGATGCCTTTACCATGTTCTATGTGATTTGACTCTGGTTATTTTGGTAAACTTTTGTTGTTGTTTATTTTTACTTCATGAGAGAGAGAAAGAGAGAGGGAAATGCACTCCCCAAGGGATGTCTTGCCACCATCTGCCTCCAGTCTTAGTTGGCATGCTTAGGAGATTCCCAGGACGCAAACCCAGGACCTTTTTCATGTGGGTCCAGTTGCAGTACCACTGTGCCACCACCTGGCCCCCATCCTTTTTTTTTTCTTATTAAGCTTATTTATTTTTTCCATGAATGAGAGGAACAGAGAGACAGTACTCTCAATAAGGTCCTTTTAAACATTTTCTTGTATTCATGATCATGCATGAGCGCACACACACACACACACACACACACACACACACGAAAGAGAGAGAGAGAAACTCCCAATGGGGTTTGGTTGTACCATAGTACTTCTTCCTCCAGTTCTGTCTCATCAGGATCCTGAGCACAAGCCTCTGTTGCCTTGGGCTGGGAATCATACCCTGGTTGCCCACATGGGATCACCTTCCCTGCACAAAGTGTAACTGCTGTGCCGGTGGGCCAACCCCCTCCCACCTCCACAGGAGAGTCTTAATGCTACCTCATCCCAGCCTCAGCTAGTCCAGGATCACAGCAAGAGCATATGCAGGGAAGTCTCTGAATGTCAAAACCAAACCTTCCCATGTGGGTCTGCCTCACAGAATGACCTGTTTTACTGCTGCACCACTATCGGGCCACTCGAGTCTCTCTGACGATGCTTCCAGCATGCTGCTTCTTTTTCAAACTGCTCCAGCCACATTAGTCCTTCTGCTGCTCCCATAAG